ACCCAGGTTTGGGTACCAGTTTCATCTTCACTGCTTTGTGGCCTTTGGTCAAGTCACTGAATATTTTTTTTTTTAATTTAAATTTTAGATTTTATTTATTTGAGAAAGAGAGAGAGGAGCAGAGGGAGAGGGACAAGCAGACTCCACACTGCACGCAGGGCCCCATGCGGGGCTCCATCATGCACCCCGAGATCATGACCTGAGCCGAAACCCAGAGTCGGGCATTTAACCCACTGAGCCTCCCAGGCACCCCAAGTCACTGAATTTTGTCAGGACTCTGTTCCTCAACATATTAAACGGTGAGGGATGAACTGCCAATTCTATCAACAAGGAAAGTTAGTGGAATATAGGACATGACCTGTGGAAGTCCTATGAAAATCTGCAAATATTGCCCTCTAGGGCTAATTATTGAATGATAATAAGCTAACAGAAACATTGCCTGGCATATGGTAGACATGCAGTAACCACAAAATGAATACAAATCCCTGGCACACAAGAGCAGGGAAAATGAAGAACTTTTTCTTCTGGAGGTGTCTCAAGATAAAAGAAAATATTGACCAATTTTGTGGTTTCAGGAATGGGGCGGTCTTGCCTTTTTCTGGCATCTGTCAAATGAAGGAGGGGCTTTTCTCTTTCCCCAGTCACCCCCTTTCCTCCTAATCTCAATGATATTCCTCTTAGCCTCTTTTCATTTACCAGAGTAATTAATTCCTCTATTTTAGACCGATACAGACATTTAGCCTTTCAAAATGCTCTTATATATCATTTCTTTAAATCTTTAGTGCCACCTTGTGAGGTATACAGAATAAATATTATTCCCACTTGGAAAATGAGGAATTGGCATGGCAGATCAATCCACTTGCCCAAGTTTACACAGCAAATTACTAGCTAAATGGATTAGAATCCAGGTGTTCTGACTCCAGTCCACTGTTTAGGCTTTGTATACACACACACACACACACACACACACACACACACTCCTCTCCCCTTCCACCATCTCTGTTTCTCGCTCCCTGTTGAAAAAGTGCTTTAAAGGGAATCAGAAAATCTAGGGTATCTTCATAAATGAGGAAGCAAAATGTCCCAGTGTACTGGGGAGGAAAAAGTAGGAGGCATGCTCTTTTGAGGGCTTGCTGGCCAGGCGGATGAGAGCGGTTTGGATTTATAATTTAAATAGATTCTGGCTTATGGGAGACAAATGTTTCATGATTTGCCCCATCTTCCTCCTTTCTCCTCCTTTGAAAAGTCAATGAATATTTGAGTGTCTGCTGTATGCAAGGTACTGGGGTCCTTGTGCTAGAGTTTTGTGGAACATTAGGCAGAGGGACTGGTAAAATATCAGAACCCTCCCAAGTAATTTTCAGATTCCAGAACAGATGCATGTGGGCTGGAGAACCTTTCCTGCCTATTTGCTCCTGAAGATGTTACATAAATCTCTGGATTTTTCTCTCACTAACCTGTACTGCTTCTCTGCCTCCTCTTACTGTCCTGCCCCTACCTCCCTTCGCTTTGCCTCCCGTGGTCCTGTTACTCATACCCCTCTCCCTGGGCCACACTCATCCCAGGCCTGTTCTTCAGCTGACTTCTCTCTCACCAGGTGAACCTCGTGGCACCTGAATTGGGATCTTTGACTTGGGGCTGTTTCCAAGGATCAATTCTTTTTTTTTTTTTTTTTTTTAAATTTTTAAAAATATTTTATTTATTTATTTGACAGACAGAGATCACAAGCAGGCAGAGAGAGAGGAGGAAGCAGGCTCCCCACGGAGCAGAGAGCCCGATGCGGGGCTCAATCCCAGGACCCTGGGATCATGACCTGAGCCGAAGGCAGAGGCTTCAACCCACTGAGCCACCCAGGTGCCCCTCAAGGATCAATTCTTAAGTGAGAAATCTCAGAGTGAGAATTTACTGGTGCTTTTTTTTTTTTTTTTTTAACGCATTGTCACAGCACTGTCTCCTCAGTGAGCTTGATACCATGATACACACAAGCCACAAAGATGACTCAAGCCAGTTTCTTTCTTTTGGTGGAGCGAAGATACCAGGAGGACTCGTGATGGGGTGACCTCCCTAACGGCATCATTGTGGGTAAGATGCAACTCCAGCAACTTTATTCTTCACTTGACTGTTTTATAAGCCACTCCCCGTAAGGGAGCAAGAAAGGAGCTATCAGCGATAGGACTGTTGAGTTGGATAGGACTGCTTGCAAGTTTACTGGGCAAAAACTTGCTGTCCAAACGGTTAGCTAAAAACAGTGCCTTGGCTTTGTAAACGGGATATTTGACGAGGGCCTTTCAATCTACGGAAGAGAGTCATTAAAAGCACATGAGACGTCAAGGAAAATGCTATTTTTAAAGGGTAAAAATAAAGGGCCACTAATAATATAATCAGCTCTGTAAATCTTGAAAACGTTTAAGTCTTTGGGGCATCTGGGTGACTCAGTTGGCTAAGCACTGGACTCTTGACTGTGGCTCAGGTGATGATCTCAGGGTCGAGAAATCGTGCCCTGAGTTGGGCTCTGTGCACTGGGCATAGAGTCTGCTTGGGATGCTCTCCCCAACCCCCACAACTCACGTGTGAGCATGCTGGGTTGTCTCTAGAAAGAATATTTTAAAAATATAAAAAAAAAATGTACGTAAGGGGCGCCTAGGTGGCTCAGTTGTTAGGTGTCTGCCTTCGGCTCAGGTCATGACCCTAGGGTCCTGGATTCAAGTCCTGTATTGGGCTCCCTGCTCAGCGGGTAGCAGGCTTCTCCCTCTCCCACTCTCCCTGCTTGTGCTCTCTCTCCCGCTGTGTCTCTGTCAAATAAATAAATATTTTAAAAAATGTATGTAAGTCTTTGATCCTTAATAAAGAAATGCCAACTTTGAAAAAAAAGGGTATTTATTTGACAGAGAGATAGAGAGAGAGCACAAGTAGGGGAGCAGCAGGCAGAGGGAGAGGGAGAATCAGGTTCTCCACCAAGCAGGGGGCCCAATGCGGGGCTTCATTCCAGGACCGTGGGCTCATGACCTGAGCTAAAGGCAGCTGCTTAACTGAGTCACCCATGTGCCCCAGAAATGCCAGCTTCTGGCATCAGACATCCTGAGGGTAAGGCTCACTTTTTACACTTCTTGGTATCCTTGGTTGGGTAGGCACAATGGAAGCAGGCAAATAATAGGAGGAATGGTTTAAGAAAATTCTGTTCTTTTTTTTTGTTGTTGTTAAGATTTATTTTAGAGAGTGAGTGAGAGAGGGCGTGTGTGGGGGCAGGGGCGGAGGGAGAGGCAGAGAACCTTAAGCAGACTCCCCACATGGGGAGTACAAGGCGGGGCTTGACGCCTTGACCCTGAGATCATGACCTGAGCTGAAATCAAGAGTTGGTTGCTTAACTGACTGAGCTACCCGGGCACCCCGAGAAGTCTGTTCTTTTTCTTTTTTTTTTTTAAGATTTTATTTATTTGTCGGAGAGAGAGGACAAGCAGAGGGAGCAGCAGGCAGAACAGGCAGAGCAGGCAGAGGGAGGAGCAGGCTCCTTTCTGAGCAGGAAGCCTGATGTGGGACTCGATCCCAGGATCCTGGGATCACAACCTGAGCCGAAGGCAGCCACCTAACCAACTGAGCCACCCAGGTGTCCCAGAGAAGTGTCTGTTCTTGTTCTTCTTACTCCAAAGAGTTATCTTGCCAAGAGGAAGGGAGGCACACATAATCCTGCTTGGAAGGAAGTTTGTTTATTTGAAAAAACTATGTGACTCATAAAATGCTGCAATTAAAATAATAACTCCCCAAATGAAGGCAGTTTCACTTTTTTAATATAAAAAAGGTAAATTTTTCTAAAAATGTACCTAAAATGACCCACAAAGGAAAAAAAAAAGGAAAGGAATTTAGATCTTAGCTCTTAGCTATAATATGACAAAGTCTTAGGGCTTCACATGAGTGTGAGTTAAACAAACCATGGAGAAAAGGGAGAGGGAATGGGGAAAAGGGAGATGGCTAGAAAGGCTTTTATTTTTTCCCTTATTTCTTGAGCTGCTGATTAGTGCAGTGGGAGAGTTGACGGGAAATCTGATCTTTCTGTATACTGATTTTGTATCCCCAGGTTGGAGACAGGAATCAATCTTACTGTCTATTATTAGTGTTTGCAGTGTTCTAAGTGCTTTATATATATTATCTATTCCTTATAGTCCTATGAGGAAGGTACTTTATTACTCTCATTTTTTTAAAAAGATTTATTTATTTATTTGACAGACAGAGATCACAAGTAGGCAGAGAGGCAGGCAGAGAGAGAGGAGGAAGCAGGCTCCCCGCTGAGGGGAGACCCCGATGCAGGGCTCGATCTCAGGACCCTGGGACCATGACCTGAGCCAAAGGCAGAGGCCTTAACCCACTGATCCACCCAAGCGCCCCTATTACTCTCAGTTTTTAAAGATTTTTTGAGAGAGAGAGAGAGTGGACAAGCAGGGAGAGAGGCAAAGGGAGAGGGAGAGAGAAGCAGACTCCCCAGTGAGCACGGAGCCCAACGTGGGGTTCAGTTTTAAGACCCTGAGATCATGACTTGTGCTGAAATCAAGAGTCGGGTGCTTAACTGACAGCCCCTCCAGGTCTATTACCCTTATTTTACAGATGAGGACACAGAGCCACAGGGAGACTAAACAGCATTCTCAAAGCCTGACAACTTTGACAGATTTGAACTTAGGCTGTCTGTGGCTACCGAATATTTTATGTTCAACATCAAAAGAAAGTAAAAAAAATATACAGGGCTTATAGAAGACTAGTGAGGGATTGTGCTATGCTGTTTTTGCTATGATTTGAGGATGCCATAACTTCCTGGCATTAGTGACATCCCCACAACTACTGCTTTCAAGAGAATTGAAATTGACACCAGAATTTATCATTTGCTTTGACATACTTTAAATATCCTTTGGATGGAAGCAGTGCCTTCTCTATGTCTGGTATAAAGCCAACTCATCCCTCATCTCATGAATTCCGATAAATAGTTATTAACCCCAAAGAAATAAAAACTTGTATCTTTCCACAAAATGGATTTTTATTTTAGTCATACATGGTTTCTCAGTGCCACAGAAAACTGCAATGTAGGAACAATTTTTGGATGGTTCTTTACAGAAACATGATGAGTTTTCAAAAAAAAATGAAGTGTGTAGGAATGTGGTTAATGAAAAGTAAAAGGGGTCAAGAGAAGAGAGGATGCATAGCGTGAGCATCAAATGATTATTTTTTAAACCCCTCTGAGCTCTGATAACCCTTTTCTCAAGTAAGATCCCAACAAAATTCGTCAGAAACTGAAGTGACTGTGCTGTCAAATACAAGGAATACCTTTGTTTATCTGATAAGAAAACCACGAGAAAAGTGGGCTGGGGCACAGACTTATTCTCAGCTCATCACTGGGAGTCTTGGTGTCTGTGTCAACCGTCCACGAATTAGCAGACTACTTGGAGTTGGGTTAGAACGACAAGCACAAAACCCAAGGCTCTTCTCCAACACCTGTGGTCAGCGGGGAAAGCCTGTGGCGACGTCAGGGGGGAAGTCACGCCATTCTCTTCACCTTGCCGTCACCATCTCATCTTCTGCTTGCTGACCTCGATGTCACCTGAGAGCTCTCCCTGCTTCGGCTGTGCAGTCCAGAAGCCAGAACTTCCTCTAGGAAACTGAGCAGTAGATTGGAGGTTACTCAAAGGAAAAAAAAAAAAAAAGCATCTCCAAAAATAGATTATCTCACCGCATGACATAGAAATGAATGAAGGATATCATGATTAGTATTCAAGAGGTACTGGTCTGATGTGTGGGTGCAGAAGAGAAGCATCAGTTGAACACTCAAACTTGTGGACTAGAAGGAATGCCCCTCAGTGCTCTTCCCCAAGCTTCTCCCTGTTTTTTAGCACTAAACCTATAAGATCTGTTAAGACTGAGATTTCCAGTTTGGAATTTCTAGTTAGGACCCCAATTTTTGAAAAATTTATCTACCTATCCATCTCCCTATCTATTTTAGAGAGAGAGAGAGCACAAGTGGGGAGAAGAATAGAAGGGAAGAAGAGGGAGGGGAAAAATCTCAAGCAGACTCCACGCTGAACACAGAGCCTGACGCAGGGCTGAATCTCATGACCCTGAGACCATGACCTGAGCTGAAATCAAAAGTCGGATGCTTCGGATGCCTGGGTGGCTCAGTCGTTAATCGTCTGCTTTCGGCTCAGGTCATGATCCCAGGGTCCTGGGATCAAGTCCTGCATCAGGCTCCCTGCTCCGTGGGAAGCCTGCTTCTCCCTCTCCCACTCCCCCTGCTTGTATTCTCTCTTTCACTGTCTCTGTCAAATAAATAAAATCTTGGGGAAAAAAAAAAAAAAAGACGCTTCACCAACTGAGCCCCCCAGGTGCCCCAGACCCAGAATTTTTAAGGGCAAGGCTGCCCTATTAACTGAGAACCATGTTACATCAACACCTCTTGTTTGACTCTTAAAATGGCCTCAGAACGTGGACTGTGCCTCTAGTCTCCTCCTCAGCTGGGGGACTCTGCAAAGTGGCACCAGAGTTAATTTTCTAAAACACAGATGGTATCCTATTGTGTACTTTTACCTCGTCAGCTTGAAAACCTTACTTTTGCTTACAGAATACTGTACAGATTAAAATTCAAGGCCCTTCATAATGTATCCTCATAATTAACTAACACTTGTATTTATTTTGTTCCTGATAACTGTATTAAGCCACATGTGTATGTGTATATGTATGTGTGAACAAGATGCTATTATCCTCATTTGAAAGATGATGGAACCAAGCTATAGGGGTGAAGGGATTTGCCAAGTTCACTGCAGCCAGGAAGTGGCTCAGCTGGGCTTCAAGTTCAGGCTCTGGAACCTGTGCCCCAGGTACCACGCACACTGCTGCTCGCTCGTCTGGCTCCACTTCCCACCAGGCCGCCCAGCAGCGCCCAGCCACTTGCTCTCCCCCAAATACCTCCTGAGCTTTCCCCGCTGTATGTTGTGCTCTTAAGTCCTGTGTCTGAAACGACAGACGGCCCTTCTCTGTCTGACGAAATCCTTTTTATCCTTTAAGGCGAGGACTGAAAGTCACCTTTTCTGTGAAGCCTTTTCAAACTCCTTCAGGCTGGTCGGATCCCTCTCATCCCTGCAACTCTCTTTGTTATCCTGGTATTTTCGCTCTGTGTTCTTACTCCTCAGGTCCTCTCCCTGTTACTGTCCACTGCACTAGACTGTGAGCTGCTTATGGAGGGTCTAGGGCTTCAGCTTGGATCTCCAGGGCTTAGCACATACGCTGATACCTAGTAGGGCCCCAATAGTGGCATCCTAAATAAATGAACTCATTAAAATAGCTACCATTAAGCATCCAACTCTTGGTTTCAGCTCAGGTTGTGACCTTGTGGTCGTGGGATTGAGCCCTGAGTTGGGCTCTGTGCTCAGCTTGGAGTCTGCTTCAGATTCTCTCTCCCTCCTGCTCACTCACTCTCTCTCTCAAATAAATAAATAAAATCTTAAATAGTTACATGTTGGCCAGAGAGCCTTCGCTTTGATACTGGAGTCTGGGGGTAGTGTGGTAAGTGTCCTTCTGGGGAGACAGGTCTATAGCAGAGGGCTGGAGGGATGACCAGGTAGGTACATTATCACTATCATTGTTTTGCACTTTTAGATCTGGCAGATTCTGGACTTGGAGGACTTAAATTCCAAACTCCTTTGCAGAAGAAAAAAAAAAGATGATGAAATAGAGGGAAAGGAGTAGAAGTGAAATTTATTTATTTCCCTACTGAAATCCAGGCACTTCTGTGTGGCCCGGTTTTTGGCCAGTTGGACTGGAGACACTTCAAGGGCAGAAAACAAGTATCAGGGAATGAGGGAGCATTGCTTTCTTGAGAGAGAACACAAGAAATCTCTGACTGGTGACTTACAGTAAGAACGAAACAAATGGGCTGAGAAGCCCTACGGGAATTTACCAGGTGATTTCTGCTTCACTTCAGACTCTGCAACCAGTACAAAGAAAAGAAGTAAATTCACTGAAATTATACTTCAGGATCCTCCTCTGTGTATCAACAAGACCCCATATTCTTGACAGCAAAGAGAAAAGACTATTTATATTTGCCAAGTCTAATTTTGTTTCCGAGGGCCATTGTGACTTTTAAAAAACTATCTATTTGAGGACTTTGATGAGTCACTGCAGAATGCTTTAAAAATTATGGGCGAGGAACATATTGGTATCTATACCCCAAATTTAGACTATTTAAAAACACAACAACAGAAGAATGATTTTTGTTTTTTAGCTTTTTTGGGGGGGGCACATTGAGATTTATGAATTTAATTTAAATTCAATTAGCCAACATACAGTACATCACTAGTTTTTGATGTAGTGCTCACTGACTCATTAATTGCATATAACACCCAGTGCTCATCACATCGCATGCCCTCCTTCATGCCCATCATCCAGTTATCCCATTCCCCCCTTCCCCCCTCCCCTTCCCCAACCCTCAGTTTGTTTCCGAGTCAAGAGTCTCTCACAGTTTGTCTCCCTCTCTGATTTCTTCCCATTCAGTTTTCCCTCCCTTCCCTGATTCCTACCTTTAAAGGACTCTTAGAAATAGATACACAATCACAACTGAATGTGAGACAGCATATAAACGAAGATGGTACCAGGAACTAACAGAGGGGGTTAATGCTACTGCTTGTCTTGGTTGTGATGTCATCGTTTCCAACTTTATGGAGAGAAGCAAGGTGGGCAGAAAAAAGCCCTGATTTTATTTTATTTATTTAGAGGTGGGCAGAAGCAGAAGGAAAGGGAGAGAATCTTAAGTAGGTGCCCACCCTGGAGCCTGAGGTGGGGCTCGATCTCACAACCCTGAGATCATGACCAGAGCCAAAATCAAGAGTCTTTCACTTCACCAACTGAGCCACCCAGGTGCCCCCAAAGCCCTGATTTTAAAAAGTCAACATCAGGGATGCCTGGGTGGCTCAGTTGGTTAAGCAGCCGCCTTTGGCTCAGGTCATGATCCCAGCGTCCTGGGATCGAGTCCCACATTGGGCTCCTTGCTCTTCAGGGAACCTGCTTCTCCCTCTGCCTCTGCCTGCCATTCTGTCTGCCTGTGCTCGCTCTCTCCCTCTCTCTCTCTGACAAATAAATAAATAATATCTTTAAAAAAAAAAAAAGTCAACATCAAGGGGCGTCTGGGTGGCTCAGTAGGTGAAGCGACTGACTTATGATTTTGGCTCAGGTCATGATCTCATGGGTCGCAAGACTGATCTCGGTCTGCCCTGTGCTCAGCGGGGTAGTCTGTTTGAGACTCTCTCCCTCCCTTCCCCCCTCCCCCAACTTGTACCCATGTCCCTATACACTCTCTCTCAAATATATAAATATATCTTAAAAAAAAAAAAAAGTCAATCTCAAAAACTCTTGCATCATGTATTGGAAAAAGAGGTTTTTCACTTTTCAGTCTTTGGTAAGGAACTAGGGTGTTAATCCCTAGTTCCTTACCAAAGACTGAAAAGTGAAACTTAAAGGATTTTAGATTTTAATTATTAAAGTAATTGAGTTGAACAACTGTGCTCCTAAACAAAGCTATATAATAAGACAATCGATCTATCATCTATATCTTCCTCCTTTTTCACTATATTCCACAGATAGAAGTTATATGTGGGTTTCTTTTCTTTTCTTTTTTTTTTTTTTTAAGATTTTATTTATTTGAGAGAGAGAGAGAGAGAGCATGAGAAGGGAGAGGGTCAGAGGGAGAAACAGATTCCCTGCTGAGCAGGGAGCCCGATGTGGGACTCAATCCCAGGACCCCAGGATAATGACCTGAGCTGAAGGCAGTCACTTACCCAACTGAGCCACCCAGGCACCCTATATGTGAATTTCTTAATAATAAAAAACCAAGGACACCAAAGGAAGCTAGAATCAAATGTTAAGTGGTATAATGAAACAAAATTAATGGAATTTATAGGAAGCAGGAACCCAGAAAAAGACCTTCTGGAAAAGAATGAGAAAAAAAAAAACCCCTAAATATTTGCCTTAATGGAGTAATAATTTTCTAATTATAGCCAAGCACTTAGCTGGAGATGCTGGAAGATAAGGAGTGGGTGAGAGAGAAGGATACAATGGAACGTTTAATAGCCCAGAACAAGTCCTCTCAATTTCCACTGCTTCCAGCTGTCAGAGCTACTACTGTGTCTCATACCTCTTTGCTTTTGCACATAGTATTCCCTCGCTGGGAAGGCGGCCCCACCCTTTGGTACTTTATCTGAACTGTGCATCTGTTACAACTCAACTCTCATATTAGCAATCCTCTAGGAATTCCTTTGTCTACATGTCTTTTTTTCACATAAGCCTACAAGCTTTTTGAGGATACAAGTAATACATGAATACATTGTTCTGGCAAAAGTTTTAAATAGTACACATAGAGCTTAAGTCTCCTGGATCTTTCTTCTCCCCATTGCTCTTTCCAGAGGTAACAATTTGATTAACACATATTTATTAACTGCCTACTATGTACCAGGCCCTGTTCTAGAAGCTGTGAATACAGCAATAAGTTAAAAAAAAAAAAAAAAAAAATTCTTCCCTCACGGGATTTATATTCTAATGGAAGAAGGGGAAGATAAATGAAATTAATAAGTAAAATGCAATAATAACACACCAGTAATAATAATGGTGAGCTCAT